TTTTTTTTTTTTTTCGATCACTTTTGGTTCTCTCCTCGTTCTGTGGACCTCCGATGTTCCCTTTGGACGAAAATTCTGAAACTCTTCCCCTGAAACACGTCAAATGCCTCAACGATTGTCAACGATCAGATCGCATGGACATGCAACCGTTTCTGTTTCCCGCTGTTGCACCGTTACAATTTCTGCGGATTCGTCCAATATCGACCAATTTCTGATTGAAAGCGCGAAGAGGATACGTTGGAAGTTAACGCGATCGGAACGCGGCCGCCGGATCGCGCGTCTTTCCTCGCGTCGCGAAGCGAAGGCAAACAAATATCGTTCGCGATTATCTTTTCCTCCATTCTCGGGCGCCGGTATTTCCGGTAATCGTCGTTTAATATCTCCTCTGCCCTGGGGACAGTCAACAGAAGGAAAACTCATCGTGGTACGTTCCCACGATGCTTTCTTCCACGAAGGATTTTTCACGATCACAAGGATCGTACGATATATTTTCCAGCAAATTTGTCTCTGCGTTGTTACACACGTTCACACACGCTGGTCTTGTTGTTGTACGTTTTGATTTGATTTCAACAAAGGCAATCTTTTTAGCTTCTCGAGCGCGTGTTTTCAGCCAGTTTGTGAGAGAAAACGAGAAAAGAGAACAAAAAAAAGAAAATATGAAAGTGATTGTCAAATCGCACGAATTTGCTAGCGAACTTGTTTCTCTCTGCATTTGAAGTTGTCTTTCTTTTTTTTTTTTTTTTTTTTTTTTTTCGTTTTTCGTTTTGAACGACACGAGCCTGACGATTGTTCAAAACGAAAGATTTGCACGATGCCGCGATAACATTAAACTTGAATTGCCTTTCAGCGGGTTACTCAGAGGATTCGGACTATACGTCGGATTTGAATTATCCAGTAGGCGGACAGGGTGCAAACAGCTCGGCTTCGCAGTTTCGTACCGCTGCCAACCAATTGGCCACCCCTCAGAGATCTCTCGAGACCTCGAGAGAAAATAGCTACGAGAGGGACGATCATCAGGTACTGCTTGATCGATGTCTTAATCGATATTTTAAACGACGTTAATTGGAAACTTTGGAAATTGCACGGAGATCGCGGATCGGACTGTCAAACGGTTACCGATCTTATTTTCGAAAAATGCCAAGAACTGTACGAAAATATGCTAGAATTATCAAATATCTCAGAAACTACTGTGAAAATGTGTGAGAAGTGAGCATTCATACGATAATTTGATGATAAAATTACAGAGTGTATCGAATAAATATTTTATAATAATAGGACGTATTAAATAAAAGTACAGAAATTTAAAATCTAATGGAAACGTAAAAAAAAATAAGTGTAGAAAAGTATCACACGATTTGTAGTTTGCAAGAAGAAATTCTGATAATCATTCGTAGAAATTTGTGTATTCGTTTTACAAAGTAATTACAGACCGATCGTATTTTTTGCATCAGGCAAACATAGCACGTAAGATAAATTTCTTAAATGCGGCAGGAAGTGACATTTAAGTTTCACCGAGACGTTAGATCTCGTCCATATAGTTTCTCGAAGAAAGCGTGCTTCGGGGCAACGGTATTTTATTGATTGCCGTCAGATTCCAGCTACAGTCGGAGGGAGGCTAGTTCCGAGTAATTACGGAGGCTACGGTGGACCGGGCCACAGTCCACGATATGACGAACCGTATCCCGAAGAGGGTCCACCGCAAAGGTATTCTCAGTCTCAACACGCTTCAGAATCTTCCGAGCCACTCTTCTACAATAGTAGACCAAGACACTATAAGGAGTACAGGTATTTCACGCTTATATCGAGTCTTAAAACACCGATGCGTACACGATAATCGATAGATAAAGTAATACACACGTAATGCCGGGAAACGAGAAATCCACCAGCGAGACTTCTTCGTTTGAAACGACTACGAATGACTGGTACTCTTGATACAACTGGTAGC